GAGGTGGGCATCCCCGTGGAACCTCGGGAGGTCAAACACCAAACCCGATGAGCAGATAGATCATAGATTGACACTCACAGTAAATGTGCTTCTGGCCCCATCTTTATACCCATAGGGGGGCTGTATCCTCTTTCTTATCTAAGATGCCAGATTGTACTGGTCCGTCTTTGTGACTCCAGTTCTTACAAGCAAGTTTCAACTTAATTTACACTTGTAAGAGAGATAATTAAATTGTAAGTACTGGACATTTTTTTTTTACTGGGTCGGATGGCTGTGTGTTCTTATCAATATGGGTATCAGTCAAGGGCATTCCTCGGCAGCCTCTTGGTCAGCAATTGGTGTATCTCTGTTTACAGCCATTCAGGGTCACAGCCTGCATATCCAGGCCTTCTGTCAAGGATCTTACTGCTCTGTGTGCCCTGTATGCTACGGGCAAGCAAAGATGGATGTTATGGGGGGTTCCTGTATGGCTACACCGGCCGGGAACATGCTAATGAAGTGCAGGATATTTAAATCTCATGCTTCATTTGCAATTTCGGTCGCCCTCATTAGCCTCCCTAGATCGAACTAGGGGGCTAGTGTAGACGTACTCATACTTCTTTAGCACACCTAGGATCTGGCCCATAATAATAATCATCAATAACAAATAATAATTAATACTTAGTTCTTATACAGCACTTTTCACCTTTCTATCTCAAAGCAACTTACAAAGAAGGATCAGTATTAGTCAGAGAAACTTAGGTGGAAATTTATTCCATCATACTAAGTAGCTCCCTCAAATTTAAAATATATTATGAACTCCATCCTGTTCTGAGGGAATTGTATTAGAAATACGGTCCTTCCCCCCCCCAAAAAAAACCCAACAACAACATATGTTCTGTCAGTGTTGCCCTAAAAAGGGCATTACTTTTTTAGGTTTAAACTTTTGATTTGTCATAATCACAAAAATGGAATTTTTGCTCTGAACTTTTAAAAAGTTTGTATTCACTTCTATGCAACACGGTATACACTATATAAATCTACAAAAAAAATCAAAATTAAATGTTTCCTTTGTTTGCAAAGAAAACTTTAGAATGATCCTAAAGGATGTCTGGGCGTTTGTTTTGTTGTTGTAGTTTTTTGTGGATGATTTTGCAGATTTTGCTATTTTCTCTTATTTGTATTGAGGACAAATTTCAAAATCTTTCACAACATCAGTGGCATAGAGAGGGGAAGAGCG